CTTGAAAACGGTCAGGTAAACTTTCTCATTCTTATTACAATAAATAGGCCTATTTATGTGTGTATACGTACATTTAAAAAAAATTTAGTTGCTTACGTATACTTTTTTCCATGGATAACCCCAAAGAGGAAGAGCTGGGGTCCGGGTGTCCTCTGCGGGAAAAATTTGATCACTGGATGGCAGGAAATGGAGCTTTCCCGACTTCTGGGGTGTCTTTTAACTTTTAAGTTCTTGGAATTTTATGGTTTTCCTCCGCTTGAAAACGGTCAGGTAAACTTCTCATTCTTATTACTGTAAATACTAGTAGCCATACTATATGTGTGTATGTACAGTACATAACAACAATTGAGTCGCTGCATACATCTATGTAATCTTTTTTCAATAAATCAATGAAACCCAAATAAAACGGGGGTCGGGGTCCTCCCCGGGAAAATTTTGGTTCATAGATGGAGTATTCCCCGACTTCTGAAGTCTTTTAATCAAAATTCAAGGTTTTCCCCTTTTGTAAACGGTCAGCTAATTTTTTTCTCATTCTTATTACAGTAAGTAGACCTATGTGTGTACCGGTACACAGAGAATTTTTATTTTTTAAATTAAAAAAAAAAAAAAAAAATTCCAAGGGGGGGGGGGGCAGGATTTCGCCTACATTAATTGCTGTTTATTACATTTTATTTCAAAATAGCCTAGTAGTGTGCTGCGCTTTTGTACGACGGTGGTGACGACAAAATCCAAATTCGGCAACTGGGTTCGGCAAACCGGGTTTCGGCCAACTGGGATTTCATGTTTTCGGTGAACTGGATTCGGCAAACTGGGTTTTCGGCAAAGTGGGTTAAATTCGGCCAACCGGGTTTCGACAAACTGGATTTCGACCATGTTTCTTCGACCATACTGGGGGGGGGGGGGTGCCATATCCGAGCGTCTAGAGAGGTATCTTACAATTTGCTCACTTTATGATTTGCCCTCTGAAGCAAACAAATCCGACAATGGGACACATATCAAGAAATTTAGCTTGAAATGCACCTTCTTATTTTTGGAAAATTATTAAAATTGCTTTAAACATCAGCCTTATCAAAAGAATTGAAAAAAAAAAACAATGTATGGGTCTTTTTGAACAAATTAAAAAACCCAGCTCATAACTGTCAACTATAGTGTTATAATGGCCATTAGCAGCCTATTTGTTCATTTATTGATATAAAAAAATTACATATCTTTCCAAAAAATCCCAAGATTTAATGAGAAGTTCACAGAAAATCCAAGATTCTAAGGTGTCATTACAAATCCCATGGTGACAACATTCCATGGTTACACCATGGAGGTATTATTATTAATAATACCTCCATGGTTACACACGTACGTCCGCGCCAGCTCTAGCTCTTTGAGAAAGAAAGGCAGGTGGCGCACTGTTGTTTTGAATTGAAAATGCGACCTGATGCTGCTGCGACATGGACGATAGAAGCGCAGAAGATAAAACTGAAACGAAGTAATGTAACTGATTCACAATAGTATTTAGGCCTATTAATAATCAGGACCCACAAGGCTTAGCCTACTAGTAGTAGGTCCCTAGCCTAGGCCTAAATCTACTTACTAGGCCTACTCTAGTAGGCTAGCCTAGTACTAGGGCTTAGGCTTCTTTTTTACTTACGCAACAATTAGGACTTGGCTATGCCTAGGCCAGGCCTGGAGCTAGGCCTAGGCCCTAGAGTACTATTCCACTGGCTTGTTTCTGCTGAGCAAAAAAACACGTGTTTTTAAATGGTTTATTTAAAAACATGTGTTTTTTCCCCAGTAGGGGAAACGGGCCACAAAACAAAAACACGGGTAGGAATGCGTTCTAAAAATGCGTGTTTTTACACACATTTGTTAAGTAGTGGCTATCGGCGCTGCCACAGTGCCGGTTTGGCACTGCCGCAGTGCGAAAAAAAGCTGCTGTTTTCTATTGGCACTGCCGCAGTGCCAAAAAGCTGCTGTTTTCTATCGGCACTGCCGCAGTGCGAAAAAGTAGTGTTCTCTATCGGCACTGCCACAGTGCGAAAAGCTGCTGTTAATTAATGGAATCAATGTTTTTATCGATAGGTGACATTTGTAAGTCATAATTCATAATTTTATTTCACTCAAAACGTGATGAGACTGGTAGGCAAAAAAGGGAATATGTCCTTGTACAAGATGAATACAGATCATTTCGGTCGTGCCTGCATTTCGGTCATCTACCAGAGAAATAATAATAATGGCAAGGACATAAAATAATAATAATACTAATACTAATAATAATAATAATAATAATAATAATAATAATACAGATAATAATAATAATAAATAAATTAATAATAATAATACAGATAAAAATAATAAATAAATAATAATAAATTGAAAATAATAATGAAAATAATACAGATAATAATAATAATAAATAATAATAATAAAAAAGTAATAATAATGATAATAATAATAATAATGAATGAAGATCAAAATATAGCATTGAAGTGATTTCACTTAGTAATTAAAACAAGATTTAGAGGGCTGGACTGTCATGAAGGCGTTGTATTAATGATGTTCTAAATATTTAGCTTTATTATATCAATAATTGATAATTATTTCTAATTAAATTATTAAATATATACATTATATATTATATATGCCTAGGCATATACATAAAACAAAAAATAAACAAAGAATAATAATAATAATAATAATAATTTTACGATAGTTTGATTAATGAGATAATAATAATTAGTATATTAAGTAAAATTACGTCCATGCAAAACCTGCTTTTAAATAAAAATGTTATTTATTTGATCCTTAAAAAATAATCTTATAAATTATAAGTTTATTTTCTGCGATAATTTTATCCACATGCCGTATGCTAATTCATGTTTTCCACATATGCTAATTCATGTTGATAAATTAATATATAAAATAATATATATTATTGAGCTACTGTCATTATGAACACACCTGACTACGAAACTAAAATGAGCAACCTTTTATCAGACAAAGATACCTACAAAAAAACTAAAGAATGACCCCACCCCTATTTTTAAACGGGAGTTAATCACTTTAATTAAGAACCTATACCGAAGGCCACTAAGGATTTTATCTATAGGGTACCCCACATTAGAGGAAGTTCCTAAAATCTATGGCACTCCTCAAATCCACAAACAGGAAATACACTTAGGCCTATTGTGGCTAGTACTGTATAGGTAGTGACACATACAACGCATCTAAAATGTTAGCTACCATACTTGGTCCGTTAGTTGGCACCACGGAACAACATATCTCCAATAGTCAAGATTTTGTAACCAAAATCAAATCACTAATCATTCCTTCTGGTCACAAAATGATCTCGTATGACGTGTCTGGTTTGTTCACAAGCATTCCGGTTTACGAGGCAATAGAGGCAACCAGAGATTATTTAGCACATGACACCTCTATCACAAACCGCACTTCATAACCATCACACAGATACTTGATCTCCTCACTTGTGTACTAAACACCACATATTTTAGATACAGGGGAGATTTTTTCAAACAAACTCATGGCGCAGCCATGGGATCACCAGTGTCACCCATTATTGCCAACTTATATATGGAACAATTTGAAAACAAAACATTATCAACAGCACCTTTATCCTCCACTACTATGGTAACGTTATGTTGATGACACCTTCGTATTCATCCACGAGGAACATATTGACAACTTCACAAAACACATCAATAGTATGGATCCCCACATTAATTAAGTTCACCTATGAAAAAGAGTCAGAGGGTAAGCTTGCCTACCTCGACACAGTGATACACCGCAATGATAACAACAGTGTCAAAAATCACTATTTATAGAAAACCGACTCATACCGACCAGTATTTACACTTTGATTCCAACCACCACCTAGAACATAAACGATCGGTTGTGAGAACATTGCTCCACCGTGTTAACACATTACAGTAGTCACTACAGAACAAGACAAACAGATTGAACAGAAACATATAAAAACAGCACTGAAGGCCAACGGTTACAAAGACTGGATATACACAACATCCCACATAAACAAACACAACACAAAACTACTCCAGAAAACAATACTACACAGATTAGAGTACCTATACCTTACATCAGAGGCTTATCAGAAAAACTCACAAGTGTATACAAAGAACATGGGGTACAAACATACCACAGACCATTTAATACCATCAGATCCTTTTTAGTACACCCCAAAGACAACACTCCAAAAGCCAACATATTTGGAGGAATTTATAAAATCTGTTGCCCGGAATGCCCCGCCACGTACGTTGGTGAGACAGCAAGAGCAATTGGCACAAGATACAAAGAACACACCAGACAATCTGGATTAATCACAGCAGTTGGAGAACACATCAAATCAACGAAACACATCATACAAATGGAAAACATGGAAGTAGTGTGCCGTGAGGGACAATACTGGAAAAGAAAAATAAGGGAAAACATTGAGATTGACACCCAGAAGCCCACCCTTAATAGGGACACAGGATATGACCTACCAGCCATCTTCAGTGACCTGCTGTTATGTGACTGTTCAACCATAGAACGGTCACAAAACCAGTAAGGTAGTTCCCTGAATGATGCTGTTGTGACAACAGCGAAAGCTTGGACTTAGAAAAACGAAGACTCTGAAAGGTAACATTTTCACTATCAATAATAATAATATTAATAATAATAATAATAATAATGAAGGTGCTCGAATAATGCTTTAATAAAGAATTAATAATACTTAAATAATACTTCTATAGGCTTATTTACGTTAGTGTGATTAATGAGATATTTGTTGATTAATTTATAGAAATATAATAGGTAGGG